TTGATGCTTTGAAGTTCAATGGAATTTTCGTCCCAAAGTTTTGGTTCGTCACAAATACGATTTTATGTTAATTGAGATGAATCTGTTCATTATCATATTGTTTTTAGTATTTTTATGATGAGCGGCTGAATTCATCAATCAAATATATATTTTGTTTTAGTACTTTTTCTAAATTGAACCTTCTTTTGTATTTGCATCACCTCCGTAACTTAACCAACACTAAGAAACCTGGAGTTTTTTTTATTAATAACTAACTTTAGTTTTATTAAAAAAGATATGGTTCTAATAAATTTTAGTTAGCTTATTATGTGTTTTATAATATAGTTAAGACTATTTTTTTTTTATTAGATCAATCATTGAAACAATTGGAACACTATTCATAAGAGTTGCATGCTCTCACAATTGGAGTAAGCGTTTTCCCCTCACAATCGATGTTTAATTGTGAACTTGTTGCACTCAAATTTTTTTATTTTATTTTATTTTTAAACTTGGTACCAATATAGATTCGAACCCTGGTGGGAGTGCAACTAGAGCCTCAACCACTTTGAACGGGCTCGAATTGGTACGTACTCAAAATTTATCTAGTTCCATAAGCTTATAAATATTCTTTAAGTTTAAAATGTTTTACCGTACTACAGTGCGGTCGCGGACCCATATCTAAATCCCATCAAACTGGTGTTTTAGTTGTTATGGACATCAAATTCGTGTAAAAATCTTATAGTCTAGTTGTCGTTGTCTTAATTATCCTTAAAAGATGGCGAGTTCAATCCCTGTTGTGCCAAACTTTTTAACAATTTTTAGATTTTAATTTGCAAATGGTCAAGCAGATTTTTTTGACTTTAGACATCAAAAACCTTTGGACCGGCCCTGCCATACAATATAATACGATGTTATTACCAAGATATTAAGAAACCAAGAATCACCAAAACAAATTTGCCTAGTTTAGTTTGGATTGAACATAAAGTAAATATAAACTTAACCCAACAACTCTTTATAAAAGTAATAGATTCATATGGGATTAAAACAAAGAAAATTGGGTCTAGAGTCTAGACAATGTGACTACAAATGTAAAATATACGTTTACATCTAAATTACAATCATTATGCCATGTCAAATAACGTTTAAATAAAAATCAAAAATTAAATAAACAAACAATCTTTTAAACCACATATAATTGTAAAATCTAAACCCTAACCACATTTTTATAAACCCAAACCGACATTTTAGATGAAAACTAAAATCATTAATGACTTAGGTAACTTTCTTCATTGCTACTAGGTGCAATTACTAGATTACTTTTTGCAATTTTTTTTTGGTAGGCACTTTTTGCAATTGCTAACAAATAGATTTGAAAAACAAAAGAAATCCATCAAATTTAATATTTATATTATATATTTATTAGGATCATATTCTTTTTGTCTTAAATAACATATAATCTTAAGAAACATATTAATAAAGTAAGTAAATTAATAGAAAATTTTAACTAAAACTTCTAACATAATTATAATATTAGAAATCTTCAACCACAGTTGAACAAAAAAAAAGCAATCTTCAACCATAAGAAAATAATTTCTAATTTCTTTCAAACAAACAAATATTTATAACTATATATAATATTTAACTAATCACACGTATTAAGCGGAGTAAAACCAAATCTTCTATAATTAAATTAAAGATATATTCCCTTCTTTATCAGATTTATTTTGTTTTTGAGCCGAAATTTCTTAATTACACATTACTTATGAATCTTTTTTCCAATTTTTGTTTCTCTCTTGTTTTTGTCAACGAATCTTTTTCGGATGAAATTTGTTACGATTCACTAATCAGATAAATCCAATGATTTCGGAAATCAAAGAATCTTTTTATAAAATATCTCATGTTCATAGGTTTTTGGGGTTTTCTTACATCGTTCTCTGCCAACTTTGAAGAAGGTTTCCTTAAGGTTAGCTTTTTTTTTTTCTTATTCGTAGACTTTTCTTTTTCTTTGATCAATGATCTTAACCTTCAATTTCTTAAAGCATCATGTGTTCGTTCCATAATTATAATCCAACTTACTCAAGTTCTTAGTAAACTTTTTTTTCCTTTGAACTTCTAATCGTCGAACGAATATTTACTGGGGAATTAAAAGGAATTATGAATATCGGGAGTTTTTTTTTTTTTTTTTTTGTGAAATACTCAAAATTGTAAAGAAATTGATTCAGAAAGTTAGAGTTTATACATAGGTAAGAAACCCTAAGAAGTTGAAATGTTAGTACTTTCACTAATGGACGAAATTATTTTAGTATAAAATTTATATATTCTACTATTGTTTTGAAGATTTTGAAGATTTAGAGGATTTGTGATTGCCCGATGAGTAATCCAGAGGATATCCCTAGCAGGCTCGAGGTTAGTGTACACCTTCATATTAACCAATCATTCATAAAGTCTATATTACATATTAATTATCATGTATAGTGTATATATATGTGCAGCTATTCTAAAATAAATTTGATGATGAACAGGGCAAGAATGCAGCACGACTTGTGTGTTGTTTCCTAGGAGTAGGGTCTCTCGTGGCATGGAATGCAATGCTGACCATCACTGATTACTATTATCAAATTTTCCCGGTATGACTCTAAGCAATTTTTCGGTATTAAGATAAATCGTTTCAGTCGATATATATATATATATATATATATATATATATCAGTTTAATTTGATATGTGTTCTTTGTTTTTCTTGGTTAACAACAGAAATACCATCCTTCGAGGGTGCTAACATTAGTTTACCAATTGGTTGCGAATGTGTTTATAATAACACTTGCTACTAAAGAAGCTAAGCTCAATACTCGACTTCGTAACATTTTGGGGTACAGCATTTATACCGTTAGTACCTTTGTCTCATCATTGTAAGTACTCTCAATTGTCTTTTTAATTCTTTCTTTTGTAACGTCGGTTTATAAATATAAAGTTGTGATTTTGATTTTGATTTGGTTTGGTGAAGTTGGATCTTGCTTCGCATGGCAGTGGAAGCGTAGTAGCGTATGTATTGTTATGTTTGATCGTTGCTCTTTTCGGGCTCGCTGATGCTTTTGTACAAGGTGCAATGGTTGGAGATTTGTCCTTCATGTGCCCCGACTTCATCCAGGTTAAAACTTGTTGATTTTTGCAATATTAATATCCATCTAACTTAATGTTGTTACTTGTTAAAATGTTTGATTATTTTATCAGGCGTTCATGGCCGGCTTAGGCATAGCTGGAGCTCTAACCTCTGGATTAAGGCTTATTACGAAAGCAATCTTCGACAAGTCTCCTGATGGTCAACGAAAAGGCGCTTGTAATGTCTCTCATACAAATTCTTAAATTAACTTTTGTTACATATATATTATACAAATTCATTAAGCTAATTTTAACTATCATGTGTATTTTTTTTCCCAGTGTTGTTCATAGGAATAGCAACATTGATTGAGTTAGCCTGTGTCTTTCTATATACATTAGTCTTTGCTAAGCTCCCTATCGTGAAATACTACCGCGCCAAAGCTGCGAAAGAAGGGGCCAAAACTGTCTCTGCGGATCTGGCCGCAGCTGGCCTCCAAGAGCAAGCTGAACAGGTAACTTCCGGTTTTATATTAATCCGATACGAGTTTTATTTTATTCCACTAATTAAGCTTCCTCATCAAAGGTTCACCAAATGGACGAGTCCAAGATACAAAAACTAACCAAGAAGCAGTTACTACGGCAAAACATAGATCTAGGAATCAATCTATCCTTGATTTATGTTGTGACACTATCGATTTTCCCGGGATTTCTTTACGAGAACACAGGAGAACATCGATTGGGCGATTGGTATGCAACATTAACATTAAAAAAAAACATTCCATGCTCATATTGGTTACATAAAAATTACCATTGTATGTTTTGATGTGTTGAAAGGTATGCACCAGTTCTAGTAGCCATGTACAACGGGTGGGATGCGATATCGAGGTTCATTCCCTCGATCAAACCGTTAGCACTAGAGTCGAGGAAATGTATCACGGTCTGCGTTTTGGCACGTCTTTTGCTCGTTCCGGCCTTTTACTTTACCGCTAAATACGCAGATCAAGGATGGATGCTTTTCCTCACCTCTTTCTTGGGATTGAGTAACGGTTATTTAACCGTTTGTATCTTCAGCACGGCACCGAAGGGTTACAATGTAAGTTACTTACAATAGTCAATCTCGGTTCGATTTGGTTTAATATTACCGGTTATGTTAATTTGTGGTTCAATCAAATTTGTATAGGGACCGGAAGCAAATGCGTTAGGAAATTTGATGTGTGTGTTTCTATTGGGAGGGATCTTCGCTGGAGTTTGTTTGGGTTGGCTCTGGCTCATTGGCAACGATTCGTTTTAAAGATATAACTATTATTTTAATTTTTGCTGCTTATTAGTGCAAAATTGTTAAATTCAACTCATTACGTTTAATGTTTTATTTGCTTTTAAGAAATTAATTCTTCAGGCTTTGTCTAAAATTTATTTTTATTTCAAATGTTACTAGTGGGTGTAACAAGTTATGTTCAGTTGGATCATTTCAACTAGTTGCATTGAGTATATTTTTCTTAATCAAATATATTGTAAGAATATGTAATATTGATGTTGGAGGATACATATTCTCAAAATAGCATGTTTTGTTTGTTATATAAAATCATTATTCAAATTTCATAATAACATGATTTTTTTTGAATGTTGAAGAAACAATATTTATAGATTGAATTTTAGAAATAAATTTTTTTGATATTTAACCAATTTTTAAAATTGAGCTTTGATATTTTATCACTGGTTTGTTCTTTGAGCTTCGAGGAAATTCAAAACCGATATATACCGCACAAAATACAAATTCTCTGTTTTTAGAATGATGAAGAACTCGAAGAAGACACAAAAAAGCGACTTTTCTTTTGTTTTTCTCTAAAATATATGTTTTCGTTCTTCACATCCTAAGGCAACAAAACAAAATGTGGCTCTCAAAGTTAAATGGCTAAAAGAATAAAAGATTGAACCTTTTCAATCTACGGAGCCATTAGTCCATCGATCGTGTAAGAAAGTGATTTCATCCAATCCGTTTTCAGCAGCATTGTTTGTAGCGTACGCATCACATCGTATCCCGGATCAAGTTTCCGTTGCCAACCCTGAAAACGCCGAAAATGAAGCCAAAACCTCACTGTTGTTAGATTTGAAGCAAACTTGAAATCATCAAGAGACAGTTATAGTTCATAGCTCGATAAATTCATTAGGCGACTGCTTTTGTACTCAACCGAGTTCTTGGTGGTTATACGGGATGATAAGATATTTAAACTCACCTCGAGAACTAATGTTGTAAACATCACGGTGGACACGTTGCCGTCGATATTAACTCTATGACGCCTCATTTTCTCGAATAGTTCATGCATACAATCAGCTGGATGGACTAAATCTCCTTCCTCTGTTCCCCAGAATGTAAATGCATCTTCTACTTCCTGTCAAAATGTGTGTGTATTATACACCACGAAAATGAAGAAACTTTGAATGGTGTAAGAGTAACACATAGCAGAGATCACACCTTGATAAAGGCCTGAGGATTAGGACAATTCTGTTGTTTAGATAATTTAAGTGTTCGTTCAGCAGCAGTCCGGCCGTCTCTACGTGCAACTGCCTTGAAAAACCCGAGTAGGTTATCTCGGTCAATTTTTGAGAGTTCCGCAGTCATGCCCACATCTAGGAAAACGATGTGTGGCTTCCTCGATCTGAACAGACCTCTTCGAGTATTGTTTGGCCGGACAAGAATATTCCCAGGATGCATATCAGCATGAATGAAGTTGTCGACCTGAAAAACAAGAATCAAAGCAACTTTAAGTAATATAAGTTACCAAAATGAACAAAAAGATACACTGTGAAGAAAGAGGCAGAACCAGGAGCATTTTCAAGAGAGCATGAGTTCCGATATGAGCTACTTTAGCCTTAAGCCTTTCATGACCTTCTGAGCCATCGACATAACGAGCCACACTCTCTCCGTGCTCATATGTCTCGACCAAAACAGCGGGATGTATTAGCGGATAGATGGGCTTAGGAAAAGAGACATCTTTCCATCCACGGAAGTTATATATAAACCGACTCAAATGAGAAGCTTCCCTTGAGAGATCAACTTGGGACAACATGTAGACACTAAACTGTTGCACACACTCGTCCAATCTAAGCCAATTCAACCCCGGAATAAAAGTAGTTAGCCTTGCCACAAAATTAATTATCACAAAATCTCGCTTCATCGTCTCCTCAACACAAGGATGTCTAACTTTAACAGCAACTTCCGAAGACTTCACCTTTTGTCCTGGATACTGAAACTTCAAGGAAGCTCGGTGTACTTGAGCTATACTCCCAGATGCCACTGGCGCCTCATCAAATTCCTCAAATATCTCAGAGAGTTTACGACCAAATGCAGTTTCGATGCTCTTTTTGGTGAACGCAAAACTGTGCTCAGGAGCATTACTGTGAAGCTTTGAAAGCTGCAAACACAAATCCTTGTTAAACCGATCAGGTCGTGTGGCAATCCATTGGCCAAATTTGATAAAAGCAGGACCTGCTCTTTCCAGAGTTCGATGGAGGACCTCATACTGCAGCTTTCTGTAACGAGGCCCACACGCAAATCCTAACAACGCCATTAGAACATTTGGAGAAAACAAAACTGCTAAATAGAGAGCTCTCCCAATCAGAACAACACCTTTGATCGCAGAAAACAATAAAGACGAGATAACGATAGGGAAGTTTATCGAACTCCTATAAGGAGAAACGTGTGAAGGAGAATAAATGACAGGACTTGGAGCCACCCTTTGCGCATATGCAAATTGTCTACAAGTAAGAGCCAAGAAACCGGGTAACAACAAGTGCGAACGGGCTAAAGACAAGCTAAACGCTTGAGCAATCTGACTAATCCGAGGTAAGTTCCAACTACGATTCAAAGTTACTCTCTGTAGAAGCCTTCCCCAAGAGACTTGAGCATGTTGCTTAACTACATTACTCGCAGATGCAATCGAATAGCACCTCCGCGCGACATGATGATTACCTAAAAGCCTTCCTTTAACATTATGAAGAAGACCCAATGTGTGATATCCATTACTCTGAATTCTGAATTGTGGCAACCTAACAGAAACCCTAATAGCTGCTCTATTATTCTGATTCGAAAACAGAGTTCTACTAATCACTCTAGAGATCAAAAATCTGCAAAAAAAAAACAAAACCAAAACCACCCAATGAAGGATCTAATCAAACGAAGACTTTTGAGAAAAAAAGTTCACAACTTTATAAACAAAGACTCGATTTTAAAACATGGGAATCAATTACAGCAATCTCCGGCTAAAAGGGCAGTCAAAATTAATTGGATTAGAAATCAAGAGAGACCCTGAATAGGAGAAGAGAGACGAACCTTGAGATTAGGGTCATGGCGAGAGAAAACACGCAAAAGGTTGGGTTTTTGGAATGGTCTTTAAACAGTTAAACGTTGGGAGCATTATTTCATCGATTTCGCGTTGGAATTAGGGCAGAGTAAGCTCTTCGCTCGCCGGAAAAAAGAAGGTTCTGGGTTTTAGGAGCTGAAGGGGAGATACAGAGAGAGAGAAGTGGGGCCCAGAAAAAAAACCCTCGTGGGCTTCACGCTAAAATTGTTTTTTTTTTTTTTTTTTTTGGGTAAAATGTGAAGTAAAAAGAAATAATTTTTCGGTTTAATTATTTTGTCACAACTTATTTTTTTTTTTTTTGATAACCCAGGTATCCGGGCCGAAGCCCGACTAGCACCAAGGCTTGAGGCCGGTTCCCTTTCAGGCCGTCCGAGCCCAACGCTTAGTGTGTTTCCTGGAGGCCTGCAGCCGCCATGTGAATACCGCAGTGGCCAACGCTAGCCCTCGAACTGCGGGCACCATATTGGAATTACCTCCTCAAGTGCCACTAGCCCAACCCACGTTGGTTGAACTGTTACGGGTAAACTTTTTATAGTGACTGACCCCACCCCGAAAGGCCCCATATCCAGGAAAATCCTTTAATGCGTCATAGAAACCCGTGGGCCATCTACAACAGGATTTATTTGGAGAGGTTTCAGTTCCACCCCGCCGACAGAGAGTCGAACTCGCGACCTCTGGCAGTCGTGTGTGAGAAAGCCCATTGAAACCACTAGGCCATCAAGGACTTCTCATTTTGTCACAACTTATATATTTTCTATGACTTGGTCGTGAAGGAACTTGATATACTATTATGCACTTGACGATTTGAGAGAAGAGAGGCGTTTGAGAAGATATACATGTTTGAGAAGAGAGACGTTTCTTGTTTGGGAAGATCCAAGTCAAAGCAAGATAAACAATGAAGAAGTTACTAGGAGATGGATCACAACAGTTGTTTGGGTAGATAAAGAAGGACTAAACGACATAAGCTTATATTGATATCACAAAACCCTCTGGCTCAGGAAGAGGTTTCTTCAATACTCCTTTACTCGACACTTAGCCACTTCCTACAGTCTTCTTCTTCTCCCAGACTCTAGCCTTTCTCCCCTTAGTCCTCAATTTCCTCTTCATGAATTGAATTGGGATTCTTAATTTATCAGAATCTTCCTTTCTCTTGAGACATTCAGGATACATGAAAGGGTAGTCTATGACAGGCTTATCATCACACAACCTTTGACTCGCCATCCCAAACGCATATCCTAAGGCAACCCCGACTGGAACAGCAACAGCATTCCCAACTTGGATGTACCTGTAACATCAACCAAGTTCATTGTCAGAATCACAAAAAACAGAGAGAAACATTTTACACAGCTCAAAAACTTATGGATGTAACATGAAAGGAAGAATATTAAGGACTTACTATTCATCAACAGGTCCGTAGAGCCTATAGCAATCAGGAAATCCTTGTAGTCTTGCATTTTCGCGGGCTGAAAGAACTCGGTTTTGCTTTGGGTGAAGTACACACTGTAGAAAAATTACCGGTATTAATACACCGAGAAATTCAGTACCAAGGGACAGACCAAGAATATAGATTAAATGTGCATATAGAAGAAGACCAGACCTGGTTGTGAGGTTGAGCTCTTGTCACGACCGTGTTAATAATCTCATCGTACCACAAACGACCAAATGGTCTGCGTTTCATATAATAAATGATCATATTTAGTGAGTAAAGGTAATTTAAATGGAGTCTATGAGAACATATCGTTAGCAAACATTACTTTTTAGATTTTCCATCTCTATATGTGATTGCATAATTAGGTACCTGGGGCAAAAAAAACGAAACTTTTCATGAAAAAGTTGCAAGCAAAAAGAACTGGAAAAAGAACCCAAAAATAAAAGATCATAAGTTTGGGCATGGATTTGTCTGTACCATAGGCTTTCCAGACGGCAGTATTACTCTCTCAACAGAAGGGTCAATTCGCACTGTTTTATCCTCAAATACGACACCTCCCAAGTCGATGAAGTAGGCGCCCTGTGAGCAATAACAAATTGTACAATGATATCACAAACCATGTGCTTAAAGCATGCATTATGATATTACAACTTGTACCTTCTTCTTTCTTATATTGCAAGCCCTCTGATAATCGTCTTCATTCATTTGGAGAGGTTGATGGTCATAAAGTATACGTAACTGTGATTCCTCTTCACCATTTGAGATTAATGTATCTTATAAAACCAGAATGTCAGTAATTGTTTCAAAACTTGTTGTAATAAAAGTAGATATATATAGTAATGCCAATTCTACAGAGTTCAAGAGAAGCTCACCAACTCTTGGAAGACTTATAAATCTTTGAAACTCTGTCTCAGGTTCTATGTCATAGTTTATTGCTTCTCTTTCCTCAAAATTAGTCACCTGTATTATAAAGAAATGTCAACAAGGTCCTATTTATGCTTGTCTCAAATGAAATGAAATCACATAACCAATTTATTAACTAATTGAGGGTTTGATATATAACACACCTCTGGGAGATCATTTATTGCATCTCCAAGAGTAAGAGCCGTTTTCAACTGTAGATCACTTCGGTTATGTCCGACTTTTAATTCCTGCAATAACAATAGATTTATAAGCTATGCAATATTGTGACAAGTAAATGTGCAAACTCATATCCAAAATGAATAAAAAAGACTTGCCTTAAACTTCCTAGGAACGACGCTTTCTTTTCTGGTGGTGGCCATTTTGTGAGTTGGCAACGGGTACGGGGGCAATTTCTGTTTTTCAAAATTCGAAAGAACGGTAAGGATCACATAATTCATAACATCTAAGTATATTGTAGAATATATATAAAAAAAAAGAGAGATAATTTACCTCTGAAGGTTGAGCACCCCATAAGAAAACCCTGTACCTACACTGAGGAACGCCGTATGCACCAGCAGCCATTATGCCTAATCTTGCTTGGTAATTCTTGTTTACAAGACGAGATACGGCATAACGACCAACAAAGCCTTTCGCGAAACCTAAAAGACTTACAACGTTCTCCATCAAGACGTATTTGGGCTTCAAGTAGTCTATGATATCCATGAAAACAGTCACTTGATTGTTTTTTTCATCTTGAAGTGGTTTATCTTTATTTCTAAATCGGTTAAAACCGCTAAGTCCCTGGCATGGAGGACCCCCACACACAATATGCACATCTCCCTAAAAGAACACAAGGTCGAAAAGTTACGAAAAAGTGGGGAACCAGAAATATTTGGAGGATTTATATATGTAACATGACTTACAGGAAGTGGCAATAACTTTGACTTGAAACCCGTCGTCACAAACTCTTTTACTTTTTCTTTACAATTTCTAATGAAACCATATATAGATTAGAGAACAACATGAGAAAATGTAAAGAACCTTACAGGAAATGATGTAACACGAAGAACAACATGAAAATGTAAAGAACCTTCTCATACGACAACATGATGTAAAAAACCTTACCCCAATCCACCATATGGCTCCCAAGTATGTTCATCTTCGTTGTCGTATCCCTTCCAATGCACCTAAAAAATGATGAAACATAAAAGAAAGTTGATAGTTAAATTATACTTTCATATATTGAAAAACGAAACTATTCATTTAGAGCCAAGGAAATTGTACCTTAAAATAAAGTGCTGATGGTTTAACCTTTTTTGCCGATGCCTTCGCCATTTTTGGATCCCCATAACAAATGGAGAGTACCTCATCAACCTCAAACTCGTCTGATGACATTTCATATCCATCACTCTCTCCTTCTACATTATTTTCACTTCCATTGTCATCTTCTGAATCACTATCTAGTTCTAGTGGCTCAGTTTTTGGGATAAGTGAAAACTTTTGGCATAGCCTTCTCCATTCCTTCAGCAATCTCAAAAAATCTTCTGCACTTTCATTTATCACCTGAAAATATAATTGTCCAAAATTTCTGATTAGATGTATGGATATTTAATATTTGAAAAAAGCTATAACATAAAAACCACTAAAGATATACCTCGGTTTCAGGGTGATTGAGTTTCAAACTCTCACAAGCAAAACTATTGTTGTCCACTGCCCATTTCTGCAAAAATAAAGGGAGTAATATAAGATCTCTAGTAATAAAGCAAATGAAATTATTAATTGTGACATAAACATCTCAACTTTTCATGGCAAGAAACTTACAGTGATCAAATTTACACCCGAGAGTGAAGCACCCATGCACAACCCTGTTGACATGGCTCCGCATCTGGAGTATAAATCCAACATATATTTTTCTTTGTTGCAAGAACCAACATTGTTTAAATCATTACCCTCCACGTTGGATATTTCTGGAGACGAACCCATCAAGTTTTAGTAGGACGACATTACAAAACGTTACAATCACAATAATAAAACCAAACAGGATAATTCATCTGCTAGAAACTAATACGTACGAAATATAAAAGCTTAAATAAATCTAACTAAAAAAGCATGAGACACAAGTTTAAGTACCATTGTCGGCACTTGAGAATGTCAAGTGTTCCAGGTTGTATTTGGTATCATAGAAAAAATCGCAGGCCGGTATATCTCTCTCTTCCTTTTCTAATAAAATCTGTTACAAGAAAAGTTGCATAATCTATATGTGAGTTCAAGCAAAATCTCTACGAGTTTTAAAGATTCAAAAATAATACATATACCTTCGCTGGAAGTTTGATTATGTGTACTTTCGATACAATTAAATTAAGAGAATAGTCAGCCTCGACATTCGAAAGAAAAACTCGTCTCTTTTCTTGGAGATATTCTCCCGCAAGGTCTTGAATTACCTAAAACAGTAAGGAAAAGAAAGAAAGAATGCGAGCATTAATAAATCGAAACATTAGACAAGAAAATCTAGTAAAACAACACAAAAGCGATTAATCTCACTGTGTCTTCTGCTCTGTAGAACAATTGAGCTCTGAAGTACCCTTCACCATCTACTCCTTCAAATAGCTCAATGATCTTAGCTATACGATTTGGTTCTCCCTTAGCCTGTACCGCCAAAACGCATATAAATCAGTCACATTAGAACTTAACCCTAATGTCAATAAGTTCCGTAACCCAAATTTCCAACATCATCTCCAAAAAAAAAAAAACATGAAAACACTTCTTCGTACTTGAACATAAATATCATCATTTAGACTGTATACAACTCCATTAACAAGAGCTTTATCGTAGTGCGATATTGCCTCCAGATTGCCTTTCTTCTTTTTAGATCCCCTGTATTAAATTTAGCAATGAGATACAAAAACAAGATTAGCGTAAACCTTACGAAGAGCGAAGAAAATTTCAGAAGAAGAAGAAGAAAGAGTCTACTATATACCTCTTTTTGATGGTTTCAGATTTTTTACACGTCCATAAATAACGTGTCGGCCACTTTTTTCTAGCTTCAACATCATAGATCGGTGGACCTGTGAAGTACATATTTGCTTCTGTTTTCTTACGTTTAAACGATTTCGGAATCATTTTGTGAGGCGAAGAGAACACAAAGGGTTTTTAGGTTAAAGAATTTTGGGGTTTCTGATTTTAAAAACCTTAATGAAGTTTAGAAAATCATTTATAACTAGAACAATCCGTTGGAAGGGAGATGGAATATTTTTTCGAAATTTGCGGGAGATTTGTATTTCCTTTTTTTCAAGTAATTTAGTTTTTCCTGCTTTCAATTATCCGATAAATTGGGCTTCATGGGTTTGTATGCGAATCACGATGACTCGAGTTTTCTATAAAGTAAAGTTTTTCAAAAACATTTGATTTTATATTTTCCAAATTCAATTCTCCGAGTTTCCTTACATGAAAACCAATTGAAGTCGAGTTTCTATTTTCTGTTTTCAAATATACTTTGTCAAAAATTGAAAAAAAAGAAAGGAAAGTATATTCTGCAAAATAAACTACATAAGGCCAACTTAAATTTTGATATGGTTGCCCCAAATTTCGGAAGTGATTTTATTATATAAGGGTTAATTTTAATCCCATGCACGATGACTAGGTTTTTAAAAAAGGATTCCTATAAAAAAGATAAGCGAAAATCAAGAGTAATTTCATCTCTGTGTTATCTTTGTAACATCATGTTAAAGGTTACTTCTGTGATTCTAATCTTTGGAACAATTAAAAAACTTCATAAACTATATGAGCATTTTCATTCGATTGTTTTCTCGACAAAAAAAAACTTCACTTTAAAGATTTTCAAATAAAATATAAAGGATATTAATATATAAAACGGATATATTTTGATTCATGAAAGTAGCGAATATATACACTCTTTGGAGGAAAATAAGCCGTGTGTCTTTGTGATTCTCGAAAGTTTAAACAATATTAGAATCAAAGTGATTATTTATTTTTATTTATAGAAAAAAGGAATAAGGCTTTTAAGCTTCAATCAAACAAAGCTTATAGCTGAAGATATTGAGAACTTGTTGTATTCACATAAAGCAAAAAAAGATGAAACTTGTTCGTCCTTTATTGTACATCTAAAAGACTAAAAATTTATGCTCATAATGTTTTCTTTTGCCTTTTATATTCATTTTACATTATACATGATACTCCTTTCTTTTGGCGCATGGCATATTTTATCAAACTCTATTACAACATTGATTCTAATTATCGATCCATGCACAGTTGAAAATAGTGAATCGAATTTTCAGGTAGAAGTCAATTTGATTTGAAATGTATTCGAGTTTATGCTATCTTTCTCATATAATATCCAATATTTTAAACTAGTTATGTTGTCACTCGATTCACAAACTTAGCAACTGAGTAGATACCGAACTCTTATCTTCTCTCTATAAACGAAAATCATCTTACGTTGCAACATGAAAAACATTCATAAAAATAAACATTTGAATGTAGAAAGCTAGGGTTTGGCGGTCGGTTCTCCTTTAGTGGCGGAATGACCTCTTTCCCATGGCCGGAGGCATAAAGCATAGTGCTGCTTTATGCTTCCGAGAACCATAATTTTCGATATTGCGAATGACCTTCACGGCTTCATCACCACTTATTGTTATTGTATATTTGAATGTGTAGATTCACCGTTCCATATATATGTTCACTTCCGACCATAATTACCCTGTTTTCACTTTTTAGAATCTTGAATTCTGCCTGGCTCCATGCTATGTTCTTTGGTTTGTAATTTGGAGTAAATCAACATTTCCAATAGGACACTTGCCTCGCTCTCTATGGTTTGCCAACTTCCAAGTGCACTAACTCAATCGTCCCTTGATCTGTTTGTTCCTCTCTCCACCTGTTGTATTTCTTGTAGTCAGAGCGACGTTGCTAAATCTGTGCTCTTTGGCACTCTTGCGGTTTTCATATTTATAAAATGGTATCTTTAAAAAAAAAAATCATTTCCAATAGGGCACAATCTGAGAATTGTTTGTTTTTTATTAGTAAATACGTACTATGATATATAAATTTACACATTCGTGGTTTTTATGCAATATAAATTATCGGCTAATCATGCATGAGACTTCTTGAGTATTTAATCGATAATGAGATCTTGGTAATTAAGAATTCAATTCTTGCATATATGTTTAGTGGCGTTTGATAGATTAGACACACATGCATGTCTTTATAGTAAGATATGAATAATCTTTTTTTCTGTAAACATGAATGATGTTGAATGTCAAATTAGTATATATTATATTTATCGGTATCTATACTAAAACCATATATGTATATTCAAATCATAAAGTAGGAAGCAGTGGGCCGCTTATCTACTGGCTTCCACTACCGAATTTTCATAAGATATGTAGTTCTAGTCGGACCAAAAAAAAGTTGAATCCATGGACACAAATTTATCATGGATATGTACGAACATAATTACATGTATATCAGAAATGTAAATAAGATTTCTAAAGACAAATCTTGATCCGATTAAATTTCCAAAAAAACTTGGTTTATGTTCAATTTTAACATGAGTATATCAGTTATATATATAAACAACTAAGAAGTTCATATATATGACAAACCACCAATTATTATGTTCTTTAACTTTAATAAGTGGTTAACAAAGATGGCACCAACGGCAAAAATATGTATATATATTCAAGAACAATGACAGGAACAAAAGGTTATTCTACATAAAAACAACCCATATCTGCTAAATTCAGCAATAAAACCCTCCCTTAAAATTTTGAAATAAAAAGAAGAAGAAAATACATAAAAATTATTGTTATGCTTTAGAGTCTCCAAGCTGAATTTAGCATATGTTCCCATCCGTCTTGACAACCATAACCCTCTCTCTTTAATCACCTATATATAATTAGAAAGGAAAAAAAAAATTAAGTTAATTCTTACATAAATACTATATAATAACATGCATGAATAATTAAATAATAAATTTTCTTTTTAGTTGTTTTACTTTTAATAGAACCTATTAGTTTATGATAGATTATCCCATTTTTTCTAAGCCCTAAATCATTCTTGCTTTTGTAGTTGGTCCCCTCCAACACCATTGTTGCCTCTGCCCACCTTTGAAGAGTCACCTTCCTCTTCTACCATCTCTACTTTTTCTCCAAGTAATGATTCAATCTTTGATCATGACTTGTGAATTTTATTTTCTTTTATTTTAATGCTAACCATTATTAAATAATATCTCAATGCTAATCAAGAACCGTATGATATACGTAATTCATCTTCTCTACCTGAAATTGTTGCCCCCAAACGTTGGTGTCCAAAAATCGGCTGTTGTTTCGTTAGCCACCGGAAACGTGCTTGATATTGGGACGAGACATAGACCATGTCCTCTTAGTTCGTGATTCTCATTTCCATCTTGATTCTTCGACTTACCAGATATCTACATGAATCAATACTAAATTAGTACTTAATTTATAACTATGATTATACAGCATGAAGACTCCAAGTTGGACAAAAATAAAACACTAGATTGTGTAATGAACCTGTTGTTGTTGTTGTTGTTGGCTCGAGGCACCTTGTTTCATGTATGGAGTGCTTAGAACCTGTATTTAAAAAACATGACTATGCTTAATATTTGCTAATTAATTTCTAGGGTTTCTTGAATTCAGTGAGTTAGAAATCACATGAAGAAACGTACAGTGACTTGGTCATGAAGGAACTTGATGTACTCTATAGCTTCTTGGAGAACAGATGCAGTATCTGTCTGAAGTTTAACCCAAAGACATACAAAAAATTAATTAAGAAGCTCAATACATAACCAAGGGAAAAGAAATTGTTTTGGTTATATATATATATATTAAGCCATATAAAATAAAGTAAACACATAAATCATTCACCTTTCCGAAAGGTGAAACTAGTTGTTGTAATGAAGTAATCTGGTCCCTTAGATTCTCTTTTCTCACCTGTTACATTTACAATCATTTTATCTACCAAGAAATTGAATTAAGATAAAAGGTTAGAAACAAATCTTGAAATATGATCATGTACCTTGAAAGTTGGCAACGGTGAAGGCGTGGTGACTCTCGGTTTCTTCGCCGCAGATTCATTATCCTTTGTCCTCTTCAAAGACTCACTCTGAGCTCTTGTCTTCAGATTCTTCTCAACAAAAAGGAAAATTCAACAATTTAGCCACAAAAAAACTTGTATATCAGCAAAATTATTCCGACATATATGAGATTATAATTTACCTTGGTTTTGTCCTCCAAACGAGTAGATATTATCTGCGGAGTGGTTACAAAATTGCTTGGCGTCGTGTTGTTTAAGTTAGTGGTTGATGATGAACTCCAAAAGGGTCGAGAGTTTGCGTTGTTAGAGAAGTTGTTAATTAATCCATAAGAAGCTTGATGATGAGGATTTGTCTTATTAGCCCAAGAAAGTTGATGATCGTTGATTAAACCACTTGTGGTAGAGACAAAGTTGTATGGACTTGGTTCGGGTTCGTAAAAGGTTCGTAACAAACTCGAGGAAGAAGAAGTTGATGGAGATGAAGAACAAGCTGGATTAAGTATATAAGGTGAAGTAGTTGTGGATAAGAATCCTTGGCCATGATCTTGATCTTGTGAGCTCCTTATGAAGCTTGAGTTCAAGTCTTCTTGTCTGAAAAACACAAAGCAAGAATAAATGAGATCTCATGAATATTATTGAAGATCTTCAATCTTGAACTTCAAGCAAGTGAACGAAAAAAATTTAAAGTTAGGGTTTTTCTTTAAGAATTTACAAAATGGTTTGGCTCCAATCTGAAGAAGAATTTGAAGAAAACCCTAGACCCATCATCTGCAACGTCGAGTCCATCGTCACGGTACTTCCTCCACTGTCAGAATCCGCCTCTCGCTGCCCGAAAATGATGTTGTTGTTGTTGTTGTCCGTACAAGTCATCCTAGCTTTGAGATTATTCTCTTGCGAGGTAAAATCATCGGAAGTAATAGAAGCTCCGAAACAAGGTGACAAGAAATGATCCGAAGGAGACATAACGCTCCTTGGTGAGTTCCACCACGCGCCACCTCCGCCACCACAAATCGCAGCCGTCGCTCGAAACTCATCCGCCATATAGAGAGAATCAGAAAGTTTTAGTATATGCTTTCTACTAGATCGTTGCTATACGAAGGTCAAAGTTTATATATATGAGTTTGTTGTATATATGTGATATGAAGAGCATTAATGTGAAATTTCGATATATGTTTATGAGGGTGTGTATGTTTATATAGGCAAGTACGGACAAGTGTGTGGAAATTACCGGAATTTAGTTGACATTTGAAGACAAAAACTATATCATCATAACATTCCTATGTGATTTTTTTTTTTAAATAATCTTGATTTTTTTTATTCCTTAAGCTAAATATTTAATTTGAAAGAAAGGTGTTGTAATAATAGTGTTCCTAATCCCTCAATTTTCTTCTATTATTCTAAGAACAACTGTCTGTGTGAGATTTGTTTCGTTGCTGCTTAGCTTTTCGAAGAAGCGATAATTATCCTCATTGTTTTAAGTAATTAAATATTTAATTTGAGATTAGATAGGTGTTTGGTATTATGCAAGATGCCAAAAGGGGATAATATTTATATTTAGACATTATATCTAACGGTAACATTTGATTGGTTGACATCAAATTCACCATATTTTTCTGTTTTTATACATTATATGTTTTAAACACCCACAAATCACAGAAATCAATAGTTATCAAAAAAAAAAAATCAGAAATCGATTGTGTACCCAATGATTTTAATTAGCACTAATCAATGCATTTTTCTTACATACCGATAAATTTGGATCAAAAAACAAAATTTCAATATTGATTTCATTGTCGATAAGATTCTTTTGGGTAAAAATAGTAGTATAAAATAAGAGATTTGTTCTTGTGGCTTGAGGCTAAAGGGATAAATGGTATATGATGACGATCGTCGATCGATGCTGAGTTTCGATCTGTGTGTCACGTCACCGTTTCTGGACCTATTGTGTTTGTGACTTTTTTCACAATCTCTTTATACCAAACGGTCCATATTCTTTTCAACTAGCTTTTCTAAATTCCGTAAATATTTTATTCTTCAAATAAATTTGATAAGTCAATCAATTATTGCACTTTACTAATTACAAGTCATTGTTTTGTTTTTTCTTCTTTTTATTAATATTTTTTCATTTTATGCGACAGCCACACAAAATAAATAAATTGGATTTGTTAAACCACATAATAGTAACTCTATCTGTTCTCTATGATCATTATACTGCTCGAAGCATAGTGAACCCGGCTGTGACCACCGTCCAGAAAATAATCAAGTTTTATCTGTCGATAGACATAGATTGTAAACATATTTTCATTTATAGTTTAAGACGTATACTAATCTCCATCCAGAAAAATAATGTATATAATACTTTTAAATCTATATTCCTTAAAAATAATTTGTGCTATTTCTAGTGGCAGATCTAGAAACAAGTTTTATAGAGGCCAAAATAATACAAAAAATTTATGATGAACAATAAATTAAAAAATTATATGAATTAAAGGGGTCATTTGAAAGTTAAAACAAAAATTTATAGGAGTCGAACACTAATTTTAACCAAATATTTCCTCATATTCAATCAAATTTATACTAAAACTAACTATTATATAAATTTTATTGGAGTCATGTGACTACACTCATCCCTTCTTACCTCCGCCACTGGCTAGTACTGTTGTTATGATCGGGTACGACTTAAAGTCTTATAACCTAAATTGTGCTAGTATCTTTTTTAAAAAAAAAAAATTCACACACATTAAAATTAAATTTACATTATTATGTTGACCAAAAAAGAAGAAGATTATTATGCATTATTATACAATCTTCTTTTTTTGTCAACAACATTGCATAATAATGTAAATTTGAATTTCATAATGTGCGACGCAATGCATATTGACTTAAAAGAGCTTTGAAGCGCTGAAATACAGAGACAGTTAGGTCAGATCCATACGACTGACTAGTAAGTTTGCATCGTGCAATTAAAATTAATTTATATAAATTAAGAAAGTGTCAAAACCAATTTGATCAAGTTGCTTAAGCCCACCAGTTCACCCAAAAATGACCCAAAAAAAAAAAAATTCTCATTATACCAAAAAGTAGACCGGACGTGACTATTTTTTTATGAACACTTGTTTAGTTTGGGTTGATATTGGATAAAATAAAATTTATTAAATGAATGTTAAAAGAATGTGTCACAGCCACCGTATGACAACATAAACTAGATCCGAAGAATCTTTGTCAGCCCATCGGTTGTTTTTCCTAACGGTCTGGTCGATCCCATCGATATGTACACCGACACTCCTCTAAGCTCTTGTCGGTCGACATTTGGATTTTATCATTATCGGACACATATGCTAACTTAAATAGTCTCCAATTTTGTACAACTTTCTTCCATTTTTTTTTTTAGTATATTCATGGTGGCAACATATATAGTTGAATCAACTACTAGTTTTGAAATATGCCCCTTTTTCACAATGCTAGTGTACGTACACTTTTCGGATGTAGGAGTAAAACTTGATCACGAACAATAAGATTCATGCACTCGTTTAAAGATGAATTTAGTTGACGATGAATTGTTCCAAAATACGTATATATTATTGCTATATACGTAATTACGTATATAAAGTGGTATAGACTATAGACACGTATATACGTATAGAAGCAATATGAACATGTATAAAATTTAAAAGTAGGTGAAGGAAAACGACAAGTAGTCAAAAAGTAGGACCCACACGGCAAATATGAGTGGAGACTTTGTTTGGCGCAGATAGTCGGATAAGTGTCAGCGACTCATTCTTTTCTTCAAACCCCAAAATCCAAATCATCATCATCATATGTCCTAACAATTTCTCAAATACATTTTTTTATGCTAATAGTTTTTTGTTTTGTATTTGGAAAAGCACATGTTTCTTTGTTTTTATGTTTATGATAACATTCTTTTTACACGTAAGTAACGTAATGCTGTTTCTGGGACTCACGGGAGCTCACATGTAATTATTATTTTCATGTAGTTCACATAAGTTTGAAAACTAATAAATAACTTATCTAAAAAGAGTCCTAGTATTATATGAATCAAATTATCAAAATGTCCCATATAACAAATTATGTCAACAAAATACGTACTAATCTCTTTTGCAAACAAGCACAACCTCAATTTTTAAAACAAACTAAACATGTCGAAATTTAAAAGGAATACTGCACATTATTAATATATAAAATAACCATTAAAATTGACATAAATATTCAAGCTAGATAGAATGACTAGCTATATATCTAAGCCAAAAAAAATAGTTCATTTGCTATCTCATATATATAATATTATTATAAGGCTTTTTTATATGCAAAAGATATACTACATCACAAATTTGTTTAATTTTAGAGATGAAATGAAAGTCACTGAAGAATAACAGTCGAAGAATATAAGCGTAACGCATGTTTCTCTCATGACATGTCAGTTCTGCATTCGATCTTACATATCAGTTGTATTTATATTTTTATTTATCTATCAAATTTTTTTTTTTTTTTTTTTTGAAAGTATTATATATTGATTGTAATAGTATTATATATCACCTATGTAGCATGTCATGCTGACGTTAGGATGAAATGCAGAAAACTACAAAAACGAAACTTTTTTTATTTATTTGCACAAATTACAGAACGATGATGATACGATCGAAAAAATCATCATGGCCGTGACAGACACGTGGGGTAGTGAGCTCCATGAGTAAAGAAACGAAATTGTATTCTTGTAGCAATGACGGTCAAAAGAAAAGCGCTTTGATTAGTCCTATCTTATATTTATTGGGATTTACGGTCAGTTTAATTTCTTTCTTATGGTTTAGTTTCCCAATTTAAAGTTATTACGTACCACTCATTCTCACAATAGATGTCGCAAATGTAATATCAAACCATTTGTATAGTGTTTGATGACATGACAATGACATAGTCATAAGGTGCATGTGTACGTGTATACTTTGCGTTTTGTTTTTCTGTTGAAAACCATCGAATTCAAATATTTACAAGATGGATTGTATAGGATTTGCTACTTCTTAAATTTCATATAGATATATCAATTTACATGTGACATATAACTAATCAACTTATATCTATTAGACTATTACAGTATCACTATATATTTTTTGATAAACAGTATCACTATATATACTACAACTAGCCTAATTATAATGTACAAATATATTCTACACTCTTAGCTGAATCTTTTGATTTCATAAATTTTACATTTTAATTAGTTTGTGTCTATTTGCGATCAATATTAGTAGTTTTTGGCATGGGAAATTAAGGAGTTGTTAAATTTTACATAATGTAAAAGGAGTTGTTATATTTTTTTCCCCACATGCGCACTTCCATTATTGATTTAACGTATATAATTCATGCATCATCTAACCAATAAAAAACAAAAATTGGCAATAAATGATTTTTTTTTCTGTGTTAGTAAAACGAACTTTGAGACATCACCTTTCCAAGAACCGTCTACATGACAAAAGATTACATGAAGTCCCTGGTCATTTGCAACCTGGTTCTACCCGTAACCCATTACCCATCCAACATGTACATTATCGATACAATTTGATAAAAACCAAGCATGGTGACACTCTTATAAGGTAATGTCTACTATATACTAGAGAATCCAATGAGATACCCAAAAAATCTTACATATCTCACCCAGAGATTTTCTAAAAACGATGAATTGATGATGGTCAAAAATATTTTTGGGAGAAAAATGTACTATGCTAAAAATTCATCCTTTTTTAGGACTACCCTATAATTTTGTAAGCTTTGACACATAATTTCTTGGACGCCAAACACAAAAATATGTAAACTAGTCATTTTACCTATATCGAAATTTGAGTTTGTGATCTTGAAGCACTCTACTTTGGAAACTCTCACAGTACACCAATAGAACTACATATGCTTGGGTAAAAACTGAAAATTTATGGGACTGAGAAAATTAGGGAATTATTCACATATTATAATAAGATATCTTCAATGTAAGGGTTTTTTTTCAGTGCACTAACCCACAACATATATTATCAACCATTTATTTGTAGACATACTACAGATATTATAACATAAATATGGAACAGTATTTGTATGGTTCATGAACTTATAAACATGTAATGATTTTTTATTTGGCTAAAAGATGTGAAACCGGTGACTGC